TCAGTAATGGAACTACTGCTGCCCAGAAGAACCGCTGTCTTTACTTGACAAGCTTTGGATCTGTTTGTAGGTTGATCCGGGAGTGAAGAATAAGTTGGGGCAACTTGCTCTCCAATGGCCGGTCTTGCCGCAGGCGAAGCAGATGTCATAACGGCTTTTAACGCCTGAATGCAGTACTCATTACGTAACCTCCAATCGCACGCATAATTCCCAACGCACCGAGCATAAAAACATAAATTACGTCATCGATAAACTCACGTGTGAGATTATGGAAAATAAACCACTCGGGCCCCGGATGTAGTTTTTATGAATTTTACGAGTGGTATATTTTCCAGTGAAACACTCGTGTCTATATAATAAAGTTATTTATATAATATATACCCCTGAATAAAGTAAAACGTCCAACACCGAAATGAATAGAATCTATATTAGCGAGTTGAGGACCGGAGCACGTGTAAATGGGGTTTCAATCTTGCTTCAAAAATCGGAACGGCACGCCAAAGTTTTGGCACCGTGCGTCGTTTACCCGTGCCAGGACCTCCTCCGGGAGGTAGTCTCGGCACTCCTAAAATTTTGAGCACTGGTACCACATTACATTTGGGATCGATACGTTTACACGTCGAAAATTGTGCGTGCCGTGCCTTAAAATCGTCAGCACGGTGCCAAAAATTTGGCTTGCCGTGCCGATTTTTTAGCGCGTGTAAACGGGGTTTGAGAGACTCAACTTGTGTTAATTGCTGGCAAAACGTTTGGAACAACAGTGTTTGCCTTAATCTCGGACCTAGCGCCTATTTCTCCTTCCAGTCCTTTACTCTGATTGAACTTAGCATGTGAACACCCTATTCCTAAAACAAGATAAATCGAAAAGAATTAATCATACAGAAGTCCAAGTTGTTTGCCTAACCTCAACACATATTAGTTGTTTTCATTCAACCCCTGTTCAATAAGAGGCGGCTCCTTTTGACTCTTGTTTTGTCACAACCCAAAACCTATTATTATCATTGGTATTATCATTATTCCTATCATTACGATACTGAGTTTACGTGTTTTTTTTTTGTTTTATACTTTTAAATTTTTTTTGGAATATTTTCCCCAAATTTTATCTCTTATCATAGACTGAATAAATATGATCCCCTTAGTAAAAACATTCCCCAGTATAAATACTTCAAAAGTAAAATGATTAAATTTTTGAAACTTTAAATGATTAAACGTTCGGATGTAGGTTAAA